TGCACCAAGCCATCTTTTTGAAAAATCCTACACTATCGCATTCACGGGATTTTCAGAAAACTTCTGAAAATCTGTGATCATGATCACTTTGGGATCAAGGTTGTCCAAGATTCGTAGTAGATGCACCCATAGTGTTAATTTCAAACTTCTGCTCTGTCTCATTCTCGAGTTATTGCATGCCCACACTTGGTTGTCCATGCCATTTATGTCATCTGGCTTGATTGACAGATAAATCTGGGCATTATCTGCAGTGAAAATGTAAGCGATACCCAGAACAATATTGCCTAAAGGGAAGCATGTATAATGTAAACAGAACTGATCCTAGTACAGAACCCTTTGGAACTCCATAATTAACCTTAGTGTGTGAAGAGGACTCTCCATTTACACTAACAAATTAGAGTATATTTGATAGATATGATTTAAACCACTGCAGTGCAGTACCTCTAATTCCTATGTCATGCTCTAATCTCTGTAATTAAATATTATGGTCGACAGTATCGAACGCTGCACTGAGGTCTAGCAGGACAAGCACAGACACGAGTCCACTGTCAGAGGCCATAAGAAGATCATTTGTAACCTTCACCAGCGTGTTTACTAATGAGTTCTCAAACCTGAACTCTTCAAATAAATCATTATGCTGCAGATGATCTGTTAGCTGTTTGAAAACTACTCTTTCAAGAATTTTCCCGCATTAGAATAATGGAAGACAATGGATGGTTCTTAGTTTGACACTTCCCTTACTTCCACTAATTTGAAAATAAAATGAATGTAGTTCAACTAAATATAATCACAATATTCTTATAAAGAAGGCATTTGTTACTCACCTCAATTTTATGGCAGATTTCACCGTCGTCCATCATGTAAGAGTGCCAGCAGTAATAGGGTGTGGTATCCTTAATCAGAGTGCAGACTATATTGACGATGGAAGCGACACACGCCAGAATCTGCATCACCAAGCAGGCCCTTAGCTGAGAAAAACAGCTGATACAATTATTTGCTTGGAGACATGGATACATTGTGTAAGAAGATATAAAAAAAAAAAACACTTTAAATTTCCTGATCCTGATATAAAAAGTCAGTTTCACTCCTCCCACTTGTTTCCAGCTAGTTGCTAACAAGGTGACTGCTGGTGTCTGTCTGCTGTATTATGAGAAGTACTGCTTCTACATCCTGGCCATATGTGCTGTTGCATGTACTGGTCACTGCCAGTCCTGGCAGTAAAATGTCAGGGACAAGGTCACTTGACATGTGTAACAACCAGCTGCATTCAGCCTTACTCAGTGATTCTTAAAGGAAGTGAGACTGAGAGCTGTTCTGTTTCTGTGGCAGGGGACTTCAACAGTGGCATTAACTGACATGGTAAATATCTTCCCGTACTCTGTAGTTGCTGTTTTTAAGCTGTTATGTTGTATGTGCATGCTTGTGTGCAAACTCACTGTTGGCAGATGAAGATTCTTTGCTGCTACAGCTACGCTCCCAGCTATTATCACCTGTACAGAGAACAAAACCACACACAAGAAGGCTGACATTAGGCCCAAGTCTGGAATTAACCAACTAACAGAATTAACAAGTAGTGCAACTTTTCTATGAACTGGTAGTTCGATCCCTGGCTACTCCAGTCTGTGTTCCAAAGCATCCTTGGGCATGATACTATGTACAGGTTGCCCTCAGTGGATTCAGTGCAGTGTGATTGTTAGCTAGAAAGCGCTCAGGCATGAAAGGAAGTGCTTGTATGAATGGGACATGTTGTATAAAATGCTTTAAGTGCTCCAGTAGAGTACAATTTGCACTCAATATTTTCACTCAGCATACTTTCTTGTATTTAGCTGTCAATTGCTAGTAGTAGTTGGATGACTGCAATTAAACAGACTGGCGAAGGTTATAACTATAATCTAATTTCTAACACAGACAGCTTGCCAACATGTTGCAGTCACTCTGAGTCTACACTGATGGGTACTACACTTATTTACTACATCCTTTGAAACAGAGAACTCTATATTTTGGGTTATCTTCTTATATAAAAGCAAGGTTGTTAAGTGCTGGTGTCATTTTGCAGATCAGTGATTGTCCTGCAGCAAAGATGTCACTATTTGAAAACATTTCATGTCTTTTATTCTAGCTGGACTTGGGATGCAAGTAGTTATGAAGAATGCAAGTTTTCTTGTCTTATATAGTTTCTCTGCTCATCTAATGCTGTGTGTGAAGTGTCTGCAAACTTACCAGGAGAGATGAGATGAAGAAAGGTATAACAGCGTACGTATTACCCCAGTTACTCAGAAACACAATGGTGCTGAGCATCGTGAAAACACTGAGGCTGATCTGAGTGATCTGAAGTAAAGTCAGGAAAAGGTGTCAGAAAATAAACCTAGAACAGTTGAATTTAATGATCTGGACAGATGAGTGAGTACTTTTGGCAATATAGTGTGTATATATAAACTAGTTGAAGTTGAAGACACACACACACACACACAATACCCCCAGAGCTTTGGGTTCAGCTTCCAGGTATTTCTCTTTCCTGTGGATGTGTTTCTGGAAGGTGAGTGTGACCAGAGGACTTTGAGCTGGGCTGATGGCTTCTTCCACAGCTGGTACTTCTTCTGAAAGCAGCAGTGAAAGGATCTCTGTTACTGCTGCACAGTTTTGACTCAGCTCAGTATCCAAACTGTGCTGCTAAACTTCACTGCAAATCACAGCGGTATTCATGTAAGTTTGGGTTTATATTAACATTATAACTGTGTTTACTCAGAGTCCAGAATCTCTGAGGGTGACAATAAAAGGCAGATTTCATCGTGGGGTTGTGCTGTAGCGTAATAACAGTGCTGAGGGTATTTGTTGTTTCTCTGCTCACTAACAGCGGTCTATGTGCAGATTTAGCAGAAACAGCTGGATGGCAAACATGCCTCAGTATCAACACCGACATCTGGATTTTATCAGACGCTGCTGCTCTCTCATTTCCCCTTAAACCAAAGCGGGGACATCGTAAATTTAGCACCGAGAAATAAGGTTGTTAAGTATTAAATAAAATTGCTCCTCTTGAGAATAAAGTCGAAATTCGAGATTAAAGCCAAAAATGTGCTTTGAGAAAATGTGGAGATTGTGGAGATAACAGTTGTTTGGTTGTTTAGCTCACTGACACAGTGTGATGATCAGCAGAAGGGCACTGAAAAGATAGCTGCATCTGGTTAGAAGCAAAAACCCACAAAAACCTAGAAAAGCGGATTTGTACAAATGATGCACACCCGTGTGCAAACACGATGGGTGTTGTGTCACAAGACGGCTGATTAGTTAGTTTCACGATGTTTTTTTTTTTGTTGTAGAGGCTACAGTTACAACAACTAAGCTACAAATGTCGATAATAATGTCAATAATATTTTTTCTAGTGTACTGCTAGTACACCATTGTTTAGATTTGAATTATTATATCGATATTTTACCTGCCATGATTACAAGATCCGCTGCAACTTCGTCCAGACAGCTCGCCAGTTTCCCTCGTTTATGTGCTGACCTCGGGATTTTGTAGGGAAGTTCGACCCACCCAATCCTCTATCGGGGTGTAGTGGCAAAAAGGGATTTCCTGTTTTTAAACTGTTGTAAAT